CCCCAAAACCCCAAAACCCCAAAACCCCAAAACCCCAATGCAATATAATAATATTGAAAATAGGTAATGATGAAGGGAGGCTATAAGAATTTGAGCGGAACGAATTTGAAGATTTCCCAAGATAATTACAAAAGTACTGGAAGTGTTGAGCCCATAAAGAAGACTGTGGAATCCCATTACACCAAACTAATCAAGGCTAAACAGAAAGTAGGGGCTCATAATAAAGGATACCATCAAAGAACCGAATCAAAAGATGAAGGTATGCTAAAATTTGGTCGCCCAACATATTCTGAGGCCAAAGATTTAGTTTAGTAATTAAACTAATAAAACTTAACTAGAAAATTCTTCCTCCGAAATGTTCATTGGAAAGGTGAAGAGCCAGGATCCTCCTTTTTTAATATATTTTAATAAAAGTCCGCCTTTCTGCTTCGTGATTATTGCAAATTTCCAGAAAACCATTGAGTTTGTTTCCTGCCCAGACGATTTTTCCTACATTCTGACCTAAAATTTAAATTTAGAGTTGGAGAAATAGCTTCAATGAGAAGTTAAAACTTGAAATGAAAGTTAAAACCCTTGAAGAAGAGCTAGAGAAACAAGCTGTCATGAATAATAATCTGAATGCCAGGATCAAGATGCTGGAATACCATCTTGCCAAGAGTATCAATGGAAACGGTAAAAAGAAGTCCAAGAGTCATAAGAAAAGAAAACGCGCAATTCATCACCAAAGAGGGTACTCTGATAGCGTGCATAACCCGTCGAATTATACAATGATATCGCATCACAAAAGAGGATCCAGCGGAAGTGGATCTAGTGGAAATCAATGGAAGAAGCTTTTCCTCACAGAAGCTTTTGATGATGGTTCTGACACAATAAACTTCATGACGGATGCAAGCCACATGAAAAACAAGGGGAGTTATGACGGGAGTGGAACTATTTACACTAATGAGAGTAATTATATGCAAGAGTCGACCACCAAGCACCTGACTAAGTCAAAGCAGCAGCCGAGCCAAGCTGCTATTGTGACTAAAACTACTACAATAACTACAACTCCATTACAGAACTACATTAGTTCTAAGCATGGAAAGAGAGCTTCTAGTATAAAGAACAAAAGGTGTTTCGACAATGTTACTCAAAAATAGAAAGTGGATGGTAAAAGAGAGGAATTGTTCCAAGGACCTAAACATTAGTGAGATCAAGGACACCGAAGAGTCCAAGTACTATCATAATATGCATAATAACAGTATTGAAATTGAGCAAAAGCCAGCCTCGCTCATTAAGAAGACTAAGAACAGCAGTATTTATAAAACCCAGGATCGGATTCAAACTAAAAAGGATGATTCGCTCTTCGCAAAGGACAAGGCGGGAGAAAATGATATTTTAGGAGGTCAATCAACTCTGAAGAGAAAGCAATGGAAGATCAAATATTCTCTTAAATGCCATCTTGACTCAGTAAGGTCTCTGTACTTTAATGCTAACATGGGCGTCCTCGCAAGTGGAAGCGAAGATCATACCATCAGACTTTGGAAGGCAGACAATTTTTCAACTAGAGGCATCGAAGAAGACTTTATGTGCAAACAGCAGATAGTATCATACATGACTCTCAGAGGTCACAGAGACCCGTTATTTACTATTTCAGGGCCAGGATCTTCCAATATTAACTCTAATAATAAGCTACTTTATTCTGGAGGAAAGGGAGGTGATATAAGGATATGGGAAATTCCAAGTCCTGTTTACTATGACTCACTTGAATCAACTCATGAAAACCAGCATTGAATTGGAGTGATTAACTACCACACTGATGCAGTTTGGGACCTACAGCATCACCAAACTGAGAATTGAATCCTTTCTCTCAGTTCTGATAACAAGATTGCCCTTTGGAAAACTCCTGGTGAAGACGAAAGACTAGAGAATTTTAAAGAAGGAGGATTAAATATTATCAGTGAGCCAAGACAAGTCTTCAAAAATAAAGAACTATTTTCAAAATACTATGACACTCCTACAACATGCTGATGGCTTGGTACTGACACTGCTGACTTTGTGAGTGGATATGTCTCTCCTAACATTATTATCTTCGATGCAAATACTAATATTAAAAAGAGCATTATAAAGTTCCAAACCCAAGATTTTAAATCGATGACTCAGCAACAGTCTAACAAGATTATTTACAACAGCCAGCTAGACTTAATCATTTCAGGTCATGAGGATAAGGAAATCAAGCTTTTTGACATAAAATCTGCCAGCTGCATCAAAAGTTTCGTTGCTCATACGGATAGCGTTAGCGCTTTATCAAATTCTAACAACGGCTATTACCTAATTTCAGGAAGTCATGATGGAACTCTCAGATGTTGGGACATTAGAAGGCAGCAATGACTTTATGACATCCCTGCCCACAGAAAGAAATACGATGAAGGGATTAACTACATTGCTTCACATCCTCAAGAGAATGTGTTCGCGTCTTGTGGAGCTGACTCTATTATCAAAATACTGTCAGCTCCTCACCTTGAAAACTGAGAGAATGATCTTGATATTTCATATCAACATTCTCTTTTATAGGTCAGGACAAAGTTACCACCGTAACAGCCAAACTAAGTTTTTAGTTTCAACCATATTTGAGCTTGCCGGGGTTTTGGGGTTTTGGGGTTTTGGGGTTTTGGGG